AAAAAAAAGAAAGGTAAACAAGCGATTTAGGAATTCGGAAGATTTAAGCTCTTTTTAGAAACACAAACTTACCATCATTCCTAGAACTCGAAAGCCGAGCTCCTCCTGAAAGCGGTACTTCTTTCGCTCGTCGTCCTTCTTCTTCTCTGTGGCGTCCGGCCCGTAGGTCCGCTTGCCGATCTTGATGTCCATCACCGTCGGGTGGGAGCCGTAGAAGGCGACGTCGGCGAGGCGCATAAAGGGCAGGTCGCCCGGCGCTGGGCCCAGCTCGAGGACGCCCTTGTAGGTGGGAAGCAGCGGTCGGAGCATCTTCTTCGCGAGATCCTCTTTGGTCGAATCCTCTGCAGAGTCATCAAAAACTTCCTTATAGAAAAGCCACTCTCGACGGAAGCGCTCCTCCTTCACCAGCTTGAGAATGTCGCCGGAGGCGGTGTGCCGAAGCATGCCCGTATCGGTGCCAGTGTACACGTGGCCGGCCACCTGAATGGAAAGGGCTTCCGTTCCAGGAGGATACGTGGTCAAGGTTGTCTTTGGATTTGGATTCGAAGGATCATCATCCTTAATCTTCTGCTCTTGCTTGAGATCCATGATCGCTTTGGTGGGTGGCGGTGGTGGTGAGGTGTGAATCGAGGATGAAAACTGAAGAGCGATGAAGTGATTCGATTCGGGTGGCGAAGAATGCGTGGTAATCGAGAAGATAGAATAGGACGACTTCTGCTTCTGTAGAACCTTTTGAAAACCACTGTTTTTCAAGTTTTGCAACAAGAGGAGCTTTGATCGTCTCGGCAGCAGCAGCAGCAAAAAATCCACAACAGCAACTTTCATTTCACCGCCACCAGGCTTCCTCAGCCTCTGCTGCTACACATGCTCCCGCTGATAACAACATGGTAGTGGTGGTGGTGGTGGGGACGGAGGTGACGAGGGTGACGGGATGATGGTAACTGGTGATAAGAAATTGAAGCAAAAAGCAGTAGTGGTAGCACTGGTGGTAATGTGTTGAAGCACGATAATAGGACGAGATGAGATGATAAGATCAAAGTGATGCTAACGAGGATTGGGAGGAGGAAATAAGGAAGGAGGAGAAAGATGATAACAACGTAAAAACTCAACACAGCTCAATGGTAATAAAACTACAGATGCTAATGATAACAGATAATGGTGATGATGATTTACTGATTTCTAATCAGGCTACCATTCATTCATTTTTCCAAAAAAGTTCTTCTCTCTCTCACTCTCATCCTCGATCCACCTGGTTCGAAGTTTACTAGGTCAAAAAGATGTCGTTGACAACGGCTTCCATGGCTCCTCCTTTTCTGTTGGATACCGCCACAACAAACAAAAAGAAGAAAAGGAAAGAAGAACCCGGCTGACAACAGCAAAAAAATACAAACACAAAAAATGATGAGTAAAATCACAGTGTGGCGCCCACTGCTGGCGTCACCAGACATTCACAAGTTTTTTTCCTTTGGCGATGATCACTTTCTTTTATTGTTTTTAGCCTAAAGATTACATCAAACGATGATGATGATGATGAGTTTTGACTGGAATACATCAGTTGGAAAAAGATGGAGAGTAAACTAGCAAAACTTTTGGAGCGAAAAAAGAAGATGTGGGAAAATAAGGGGGAAATGTGTCGAGCAAGATGTGGGCGGGCGGTGTGTATGATGCGGATTTTTTTGTGATGACAAGAGACGAAAATGGGCAAAAGATGTTTATGTTACCATTTAGCGCATTATAGCGCTTCGGCCGCCTTTCCTGTAAATAGAAACAAGGTAAGTTGATCATCAGAGATAAAGAAAAAAGATCATCAACTTACTTTCCATGCGGTCCCTTGACGAAGCACCAGCTGACGGAGATCGTCTGACCGACTAAATCGGCGCCGTTGAGCGCCTCCAAAGCCTCAGCAGCCGCCTTGTACGTCTCAAACTCCACCAGACAGTATCCCT